CCTAGGATAGGGAAGGGGAACAACAACCCCTCGGTCCCATATGTTGGCCACTTGGTGGCATGCTAGGAAAGCATTGCTATGTGTGTTGGTTGATTTAATAAAAACTACCTTCCTAAAGGCCTATGGTTTTGGCAAAGAGACTATGAAAATCAAGAGGAGGAGCAGAGAGAGAGAGAGAGAGAGAGAGAGAGAGAGAGAGAGAGAGAGAGAGAGAGAGAGAGAGAAGAGAGAGAGAGAGAGAGAGAGAGGAGAGAGAGAGAGAGAGAGAGAAGAGAGAGAGAGAGAAGAGAGAGAGAGAGAGAGAGAGAGAGAGAGAGAGAGAGGGAGAGAGAGAGAGAGAGAGAGAGAGAGATAAGAGAGAATGAGAGAAAGCACAATGGACAACGGTGTCCATGGCCCTAGGCATCAGCCCCTACGCACTAAGGGCAGGCACAACCATGTCCTACCAAGTGGACGACGGGGCAAGAAAAAAAAAAAAAAAAAAAAAAAAAAAAAAAAGGGGAAACGAGGAGAAGAAGAGACATGCGTTGACATGCGTTAACATTCCCGACACATTCGTTGACATTTCATTCAATTGTTCATTCTCTTCACACCTTCGATCAATGGTTGCCCGTACAAGTACATGCACACGCATGCTTTAACGTGGAATACTCAAAGCTTATACCACTTGGCCTCAAATGTACAGGAGCACGACGGTGCGAGGCGGCATGCCACGACGATCCGTACGAATTTGCCGTTACAGACAAAACTATTACACACATGCGCGGTCGTCTTCGCGCGACATTTGCGTGGTGGAGCTCATGGTGCCCCAGCAGCCTTGTCCTCTCCGTCATCGCCAAGGGTTACTGGTTGCCATGGAGCCACGGCCCACCGCAACATTTCCACGATCGCAATCATGTCGGGGCAAACACGCATGCCACGTTCACACGTACCGCCATCCAAGAACTCATAGAGACGGGAGCGGCAATTCCGATGGCCGCAACGGAGCTTACATGCATAAGTCCACTCAACGTGGTCGAGCAAAAAGACAAATGCAGGCTCATTCTTGATCTGAGGAAAGTCAACACCAACTTGATCATCCCCAAGTTCAAGTACGAAGGGCTCAGCCGCGTCGCCGACCTTGCGCGCGTTGGGGACTGGATGTTCTCCATTGACCTCAAATCTGGTTACCACCACATCGACATCCACCCATCGTGCTGGAAGTTCCTTGGCTTTGAATTTGATAAGCGCACATACGCATTCCGTTCACTACCATTTGGCCTCGCGACAGCTCCATTCGTTTTCACGCAGCTCATCAAGCAACTAGCTCGGCGTTGGCGAGAACAAGGCATCCGAGTCGTACCTTACGTGGACGACATCTTATTTCTCTGCCAGTCGAAAGAGGACGCGCAAGCAACTTGCCAGCGGGTGATATTGGATCTTAAAGAGGCAGGCCTTGTGATAAACGCGAAGAAATCACAACTGTCACCATCGCAGCGTCTCCGATTCCTGGGCGTAGAACTCGAGACCGATACCGGCCGATTCTCCATCGGTCCGGACCGACGAGCCTCACTACATGCAACCATCCGGAACCTCCTGAGCGCAAGCAAGGCATGCCGACCAGTCCCGGTCCGCCACGTGGCCAGAATCACTGGCATGCTCGCATCGATGGGTGTCGCACTTGGCGCGACAGCTCGCGCATTCAGCCATGCTATGTTACAAGTGATCGACGACGCACCGTCATGGAAAAGCAGCGTCGTTATCCCCCCATCTGCAGCAGAAGAGCTCCAATTTTGGCTCGAGGAGTTCGACCGTTTCAACGGCGCACCTTTTCACGTCAAGAACAGCTACGACGCGGTAATCCACGTGGATGCCAGCTCTCATGGTTGGGGCGCCACTCTGACCACATTTCCGGGTGGCATCGAAGAAGCTAGCGCAACCATGTCAGAGCCGCTACGAGGAACGTCCAGCACGCGACGGGAGATCGAAGACGTCCTTTGGGCGCTACAAACGTACGCGAACAAGATCAAGCAAAAACACGTTCTCGTGCGGGTGGACAACCAGGGCGTATTCTTCATCCTTCGCAAAGGCGGTTCTCACAGCCCCGACCTCACAACGGCATGCAAGAGCATCATCCGAACATGCATGGCGCTTGGCACGCGCTTGATCATTGAATGGATTCCGCGCGAGCTCAACACACACGCCGACGAGCTTTCAAAAATGGTCGACCACGACGATTACGCGCTGAAAACGCCGTGGTTCCGGATCTTGGAACGTCGTTGGGGTCCTCACTCCATCGACCTTTTCGCAAACTCCCGCAACACCCAACTGCCGCGCTTCTGTTCAAAGATTCCCCACCCGGCAGCCATTGCAGTTGATGCGTTCTCGATCGCGTGGACACCTGAAAACAACTTCGCCTTCCCCCCACCTCAACTGGTCCCAGCCGTCCTCCATCACGCACAACGCACCCATGCATCACTCACACTGATAGTTCCGCACTGGCCAGGCGCAAGCTGGTGGCCACTCTTGCAACCCTCCCCACGCACCTGGGCACCACACATCCACGCGCACATCCCTCTGACACACGGAAGCCAATGCCTAGACGTAGGGTCCCATTCAACTGCTTTTTCGGGCATGGGACTACCGCACAGCCCAATCATTGCACTGCGAGTGGCATTTGACTAATTCAAAATATATACACCTTGTGTTCAGATTTGCTCCCAAAGTTACACGACCAACTGATCAACATGCTCGCGCAGTCTTGCGCCGATTCTACGATCCGGACATATGAACCATACTGGGCCAAGTTTCGAGCCTTCTGCACAAAAGTGAACCTTCCATTCCTCCCGGCATCCGACATGACCCTCGCGCTATACCTGGTACACGCAATCCGACGCAAAGCCACCCTGTCCGTAGTGCAACTAACCTGCTCGGCGGTCAGCTTCGCCCATCGCATGACCGGGAGCAAATGCCCGACAACCGGACCGTTCACCACCCAAGTCCGTGACTATGCAAAGCGACACTGCCCACGCCCTACTCGTCTGAAGGAACCCGTCTCGATCCAACAAGTCCAGGAAATGGCCGCGAGCTACTTGCAGTCCGACGATCCTGCGCAATTTCAGAAAGGGTTGATACCCATCCTCATGTACTCCGGATTCCTGCGATACTCTGACCTAGTAGCCATAAAATGGCAAGACATCCAATTCGACGACGAGGTCATGTGGATTCTCATACCACACTCCAAGACCGATCAAGCTGGTCACGGCACTTGGATACCCATTGCAGCAACGGCGGACCCCTGCTGCCCAGTGCGCTGCACCCGACGCTTCATCCGACTCGCTGGCTATGGCCCACGGTCAGAGGGACCATTGATTCGTGTCTTCGGTCACGGTTCAACCAGCGAGGGCCAGGCTAGGCCACCTTCATACACTACGATCCGGAACTGGTGCAAGGAAGCCTTCGCAAAGGTTGGCCTTGGAGAGTTGCAGCTAGGCACCCATTCTTTCCGAAAAGGTGCAGCCACAGTAGCAGCCAACACGGGAGTGCCAGACAGAGTCTTCAAACGGCTGGGCAGATGGCGAAGCGACACAGCAAAGGAAATGTATGTTACGCCATACGTCGAGCCCCTCATCGAAGCCTCCCGTACCCTACAAGATTCGACGCATGCGGTGTCATCGGCGCAACACACAGAGGCACTCGTACGCAACCGGAGGCCCCCGCTGCCCATGTCTCAGAGACCCCATTTGTAATGAGAACGATGCCAATTGATAAGAAAGAAAGCAAGCTTTCTCAATATTATAATTTTTAAACACACATGTAGTGTTTTTTAAAATTGTGTATTGTGAAAGCGAAGCTGCTTGTACTGCACAATTGGCATCGTCGAAGCGCGCTAAACGCCCTTCTCCAACTACAAAAACCGTGGGTTGGAGCTCATTTCCCTCCACCCACGTTTCTCAATTTTCAAACGGCTCACTCAACATTCCCACCACCCACCCCAGTGTAAACCGCCTTGCTAATGCCACTTGGATAGGGTACATAATAGCTAGTGTTATTAGTCCGCACTAGCTTATGTCGAACGATGATGCAAATGTTGTAATACGCCATTTGTAATGAGAACGATGCCAATTGAATGCCATTTGTAATGAGAACGATGCCAATTGATAAGAAAGAAAGCAAGCTTTCTCAATATAAACTTTTACAAATTTCAAAGACCTCACGCGCCCTTAGCAGTAACGGGCGAACAACGGCTGTTGCTGTACGCGATGTAGTCGGGCTCCGTAAGGAATGCCGAGAAAATTCCTTACACTAACTCATAAATAAGCTGTTATCATGAGTGATTAAATCAAAGTCTTGGTAGTTTTGAAAGAGCACTTATATTTTCCACAAGCTGATCACAAGATGGCTTTCTTGGGATAAGAGCCATTGCTACTCCCTAGCACATAATTTAATTTCCTTACAGCCAAGAACAGCAAACAATGCCTGTGCACCAGACCTGACCGCATCAACTTGCCGTTGTAGCTTCAACTTGAATTCCTGCACACGTCATGAGAAGAAACTTCGAGCTCCTTGTCATGTCTTATTTTATTAGCCCCACAAACCCCCTCCCCCCACACCCCCTCCCCCCACACCCCCACCCACCCTCCCCCCACACCCCCTCCCCCTGTCCCACCCCCACCTCCACTTTTTTTGGAAGAATACCATACAACTCCAAGGGTGTTTTGTACTGGGTTGTACGGTATTACGACCAGTTCTACTGTTTTCGACAGTCAATTGATACACCACATATCACTTGGTCAATAAATTATGGCCTCCTTTTACTTCCTGCCGCAGCAGCAGATGCGCAGCTCTCCCTTCCTGCCAGTCATGCCTGATCCGTGCTTGACCTTGTGCTCATGCTTCTGAACTTTGACTCTTCAGGAGGCCGCGGCATGTCCGAATATTCCGGATACTTGCGGCAGCAGCAGCATGTGCGCTGCGCAGCTTGCGAGAATCCCCCTGCATCCTTCCCGCCAGTCTACAGTCTATGTCTTCTCCGTGCTTGAGCTTGTGCTCATGCTTCTGAACTTTGACACTTCAGGCGGCCGCGGCATATCAGACGACTGCGCAGCAGCTCTCGCCTCCGCCTCCGCATATTCCGGATACTTTCTCCCGCAGCAGCAGATACGCAGCTTGCGGGACCCGCGCTGAGTTTGCCGGTAGAGGATGAAGAAGGGCGTGCAGATAATGAGACCAGCGGCTACCACCAGGACGATGAAGGTGAGGATGCCCCACGGCCCGATGCTCTTGTCGCTGCAGTTGGTCTTCGAGACGTCCTTCCACAGACACGTGTAGTCGTAGCCGCCAGAGGGAGGCGAGGGAGGGGGTGGCGGGGGGACCACCGCTGCGTGTAGGGAAGGGGGAAGGGAGAAGGGGAAGGGGCAACAGCTGAGTGTTGGGAAGGTGAGGATGCCCCACGGCCTGATGCTCTTGTCGCTGCAGTTGGTCTTCGAGATGTCCTTCCAAAGGCAAGTGTAGTCGTAGCCGCCAGAGGGGGGGGAGGGCGGGGGTGGAGGGGGGGCCGCAGCTGGGGAAAGGGCAAGCGGAGGACGGAGGTAAAAGGGAAGGGAGAAGGGAAAAGGGAGAAAGGGGAAGAGAGAAGGGGGAAATGGTGAAGAAGGGAGTCGAGATGATGAGCCCGGCGGCTACGAGGAGCACGATGATGAGCCCGGCGGCTACGAGGAGCACGATGATGAGCCCGGCGGCTACGAGGAGCACGATGATGAGCCCGGCGGCTACGAGGAGCACGATGATGAGCCCGGCGGCTACGAGGAGCACGATGATGAGCCCGGCGGCTACGAGGAGCACGATGATGAGCCCGGCGGCTACGAGGAGCACGATGATGAGCCCGGCGGCTACGAGGAGCACGATGAAGGTGAGGATGCCCCACGGCCCTACGCTCTTTTCGCTGCAGTTGGTCTTCGACACGTCCTTCCATAGGCAGGTGTAGTCGTAGCCGCCAGAGGGAGGGGAGGGAGGGGGGACCGCAGCTGTGTGGGGAAGGTGTGGAGAGGTATAGAGGGGTGTGGAGAGGTGAGGATTGGAGACGTCCTTCCATAGACAGGGGTAGTCGTAGCCCCCCTTGGGAGGGGGCGGAGAGGGGGCTGCGGTTGTGTGTGGGGAAGGGGGAAGGGGGAAGGGGGAAGAAGGAAGGGAGAAAGGGGAAGTAGAAAGGGAGAAAGGGGAAGTAGAAAGGGAGAAAGGGGAAGTAGAAAGGGAGAAAGGGGAAGTAGAAAGGGAGAAAGGGGAAGTGGGAAGGGGGGAGTGGGAAGGGAGAAGGGCGAAGGAGGGAGGGAGAAGGAAGAAACAGAAAGGGAGAACGGGGAAGGGAGAAAGGGAAGGGTAAGGGGCAACGGGAGGTGGAGGAAAAGGGTGTAAAAAAGTGAAGATTGGGTATGGAGACAGCTTTTGAAATGTCTCAAAAGACGGCTGCACAGGCTGTCTTTTGGATGTCTCAAAAGACGGCTGCACAGGTGTTTTGAGACGTCTCAAAAAGGTGAAGATTGGGTATGGAGACAGCTTTTGAGACGGCTGCACAGGCTGTCTTTTGGATGTCTCAAAAGACGGCTGCACAGGCTGTCTTTTGGATGTCTCAAAAGACGGTTGCACAGGTGTTTTGAGACGTCTCAAAAAGGCGAAGATTGGGTATGAAGTCAGCTTTTGAGATGTCCCAAAAGATGGCTGCACAATCAGGAATTGATGCCTCATTGCTCACATGCAGACGTTTGAATGCCAAGGCTGGCCTCTAACCCCTCACAACCGCCCTCAACGCCTCTCAACCCCCATAACTCCCCTTAGGGGGATGAGATCAGGTGTAGGGGGATAAGCTCAGGGGCTGGAGAAAGGATGAGCTCAGGGGGGAGGGGACTTTTGAGTCGACTCAAAACGCACCTTTTGAGTCGACTCAAAGATGGGATCAGGTGTAGGGGGATAAGCTCAGGGGCTAGAGAAAGGATGAGCTCAGGGGGGAGGGGAGTGGGGGGTGACGTCATGGGGAGGAGAATGATATGAGAAATGGGTGGGGAGAGGGGGGCGCCTGTCCCCGCCTGCCGTCCGCCTGTCGCTCGTCTGTAGCTCGACTGCCGTCCGCCTGCCGTCCGCCTGTCGCTCGTCTGTAGCTAGACTGTCGGTCACCTGTCGCTCGTCCGTCTCTCGCCTGTCGTTCGCATGTCGCCCGCCTGCCACCCGCCAGTCCTAGCCCATACCGTCACCCGCCGCAGCCCGTACACCTGCGACCATTTACGCCTACATTGCCGGTTCAAAGATCTTCTCTTCAGGCCAATGCCTCTCCTCCGAGTTGACTTTTGAGCCGACTCGAAAGTCAACTTGCTCCCCGTACACCTGCGGCCATTTACGCCTACATTGCCGGTTCAAAGATCGTCCCTTCAGGCCGATACCTCTCCTCCGCCTCTCGCTCGTGTTTTGAGTCGACTCAACACCCGCCAGTCCTAGCCCATTCCGTTACCCGCTGCTCCCCGTACACCTGCAGTCATTTACGCCTACATACATCGCCGGTTCAAAGATCTTCCCTTAAGGCCGATACCTCTCCTCCGCCTCTCGCTCATCTCCAGTGCATCCCCATTCCGCCACCTGCGGCGTTATGTACACCTGGGGCCTTTTTCGCCTACCTGTCGCCCGTCTGTCGCCCGTATGTCGCTCGCCTGTCGCTCGCCAGTGCATCCCCACTCCGCCACCTGCGGCGTTATGTACACCTGGGGCCTTTTTCGCCTACCTGTCGCCCGTCTGTCGCCCGTCTGTCGCCCGTATGTCGCTCGCCTGTCGCTCGCCAGTGCATCCCCACTCCGCCACCCGCGGCGTTATGTACACCTGGGGCCCTTTTCGCCTACCTGTCGCCCGTCTGTCGCCCGTGTGTCGCTCGCCTGTCGCTCGCCAGTGCATCCCCATTCCGCCACCCGCGGCGTTATGTACACCTGGGGCCTATTTTCGCCTACCTATTGCCCGCATGTCCCTCGCCTATCGTTCGCCGGTCGCTCGCATGTCTCTCGCCTGTCGCTCGCCTTTCACTCGCCTGTCGCTCGCCTGTCGTTCGACTGCCGCCCGCCTGTCGCTCGTCTTACGTTCGTCTGTACACTCGCCTGTCACTCGCCTCGCCATATGTCGCCCGACTATCGCTTGCTGTCGCCCGGCCATCGCTCACCTGGCGGCGCATTGTCGAGGGAGCGAGCGGAGGCGAGAGGGGAGACGGCGAGCAGAACAAGGCAGAGGAGAGCGAAGAAGTTGAGAGCGAGGGAGTGAAGAGCGCCGAGGGCCAGCGCGAGCGGTGCGCGGAGCGGTCGTCTCCTAGAGGCGAGGGCGCTTCGAGAGGGAATCGTGGCGGCGACAGCTAAGTGGGAAGAGCGGAAGGCGATGGCGGAGTTGGCGCGGTGGCGACAACAAGGAGCCATTTCCGCGTCTCCACTCCGTTGCGGGCGCGGTCGACTCATCAGAAACACAGATGCAAACCGTCAGAAATTGGGCAATGGCGACTTGAGAGTGATTCTCGCGCAAACGAGCGCCTCGTAGTTGGTCGTTGACGAGGAGGCATGGGGAACCGGACGTGGAAGTGGGTGCGAAATGGCGCTAGTGGCGCGAGAAGTGGTTGGGACTTCGTGGTTTTGTCGTGGGACCTAGTCACCTAGGTTGTCTGGGAGAAACTTTCAGGTTCCAGGTGTGGTTCGATTTTGGAAGAAACTGGCAAATGTGTGTTGTCTCAGGTGTAATTCTGATCGAAACCAATACAGAAGCCAGTTTACAACGCGGATATCCTTGATAAACGACAGATTGGTTCGAGGGGTTGGGCGGGGAATTTGTCGGAGAATGAATGGGCGTTCGACGCCCGTCAGGGTTGCGAAATCAAAACGCGCACCGACGGGAAACCCGGATTTTCGATCAGGTCGCCTGGTTTCGTCATCGTGCATCGTGACTTCGGTTTGCTGAGAACGACCAATGAACATCTTCCGAGAGCGAATTTTTCAGTAGCCCAAGCCTTGTCACATGAATTCCTGTCCAGCGGGAGATCTAGTCAGCTTAGTCCACCTTGGGCTCCCTGAGGGGATCCCATGAAGCTCTCTGGTCTGCTATCTCCTCTGGTTTAGTTATGGGAGAAAACGATAGTAGGAAAACACGTCAGCTGTTGTACCCAGCTTCGACATGGCCTAAGGATCTCCAGTGAGATTAGCTCCTCCTACAACACAAGCACGGCGCGTACTTCCCCACCTCCAAACCGCAGGTCAGCAAGCGGGTGGTGCTGCGTGTTTATCAACTTTCTATAGTAGAGAAGGAGCGAGGAGCTGGGATTGTGAGATCCGTATACGAGTGACTTGATCCCTTGTCATTCTATATCTGGGAAAGGAGATCTCTTTTCATACCTTTCTTAGCAGTCCGCGGTCGATCCGTGAAGTTCAGATGGAGCGTCTCTCACACATAGATCGACTTTCAGATGATCTTCTTATCAGGATTTTATGGTTTCGGAAAGAGGAGCCTGTCCAAGAATATTCAAATTCTATATAGGACTGGCTTCCTTCTTGGCATTTTAAAACGAACAAGTTCACTTATCCAGCCTTATCAGATCCAGCTTTTAATCTGCTCATCGCGTCCGTATGCAGTCGCTGGCGTGACATCGTTAAGCGTCAAGTCACCTGCTTGTCAGTTCATGAAAACCGTGTCATTTCTCGTCAAGATCTGACGAACGCAGTGGCTTGTTTCGACAACCTCACCAATCTTCATCTCAGTGACGGCAGTGTCGAGATAATTGACAACGTTTTTTTATCTCGCCTTGCTTCCTCACGGCCTAAGCTAAAAGTTCTTCACGTGGGTCTCAGGATCACACCGAAAAGGTGTGAAGGAAGCAAGAATGAGCACCCAGTTACTGAAGCTGGCTTGGATTTGTTTTTCCTGAAGTGTACTCACCTCGAGGAGATTTCGCTTCACTGCCTCCATAAAGATGCTGAGTTGCCGAGTTCTTTCTTTCAACTGCAGCATCTCCACACAGCTCTTCTGACTGACATTTCAGCCTTGACATTTCCCAGATTTGCAGCGCTTTCATCTCTCACTTCTCTCCATATTGCCGTTTCGAAATTGACACATCAGCAACTATCAAGCCTCGCTCGTATCCCAAGACTCTCCATACTTTCGATCTCTAGTGAAATCTGCCTCCTCAAGAATGAATCACCATCTGCAACATTTCCAGCTGCTCAGCCGCCTTATCTGAAGACACTCGAGTTCCCGCTCAACAGTCCGAAATTCGATGCAATGTTCTTTACAGGATCACCCTGCATTCGCCTAGAACAGCTGGTGATTACCAATTCCACCAAACTTCGACGACTCCCGGATGACATTGGAGAGCTGTTGCCATGCCTCCGTGAGCTGACCATTCGGAATTGTGATGAGCTTGACCAACTATCCGATAGTACCACTTCCCTAAGCGCATTGGAGTGCTTATCCATTTGTAACTGCCGCCGGCTTACCAGCCTGCCCATCGACTTCGAAGAGTTTCCTGCCCTCAAGTCACTGATGCTGCACAACCTGCCTCGTTTAGACTTACCTGAATCCCTTTGCCAAGCTAATTCTTTGGAGACTCTGTCCCTTTATGACTGTGGCAAGATGCAGCTGCCAGCAGAGTTCTGCATCCTGACATCTCTCAAGAAACTGAGCCTCATGCGCTATGGGAAGATGGTGCTTCCAGAGAGGATTGGATGCCTCACTAACCTGGAAACTCTTCAGCTACATGGATTCATGCAGCCGCCTCCTTCACTCACGCAGCTGGTTTTTCTAACAAGTATTGAGCTTGCATATTGCTCAGTTGTCGAGCTTCTTGAAGGTCTGTAGAATATGACTAACCTGCAGCATCTCCGCATACGGAACTGTTCTGCTCTCAACGAGATTCCAGAGTCTGTTACAGGGCTGACGCGGCTAGAATCCTTGACCATTGAAGCGTGTGAACAGCTTTCTGTGCTGCCAAGAAGGCTGAGTAGCCTTGTGGGGCTGAAGAGGTTGGACGTAAAATGGTGTAGACGACTTTGTGAGTTTCCTGTGGCACTTCCACTTTCCCTTGAGGTCCTGATTTGGGACAACAATGAGCAGGGAACTTTCCAGCCTCGGATTTCCCTGCCGTCTCGTCTAAGGCACTTGAATCTGAGGTTGGCAGACAACATTGACGAATTTCCTGTCCCCTTGAGCCCACTTTCTCAGCTCCACGTCTTGAGTATCTGTCATGGTGAAAGGATTCGAACCCTTCCAGGAAGCATCGGTTCCGCATTGCAGCAGCTGCGTGATTTGCAGATATGCCACTTCAAGGAGCTTCGGGAGCTGCCAGAAACGATCTCACAGCTCCAACACCTGACATCGCTGGAGGTCGTTGCGCCCAAGCTGGCCTCAATTCCTGATGGGATCGGCGCATTATCCAGGTTGCGCAAGCTGGATCTGACAGACTGTAAGGCCCTGCAGCAGCTACCATCATCGCTCACACAGCTTCGATGCCTCTCTGTGCTGAGACTATACAATACTTCCATCACCTCCCTTCCTCCGAGGTTTGGACAGCTGACCAGGTTGAGGACACTGAGCCTCTCTGGCTGTGAGCAATTGACAGCCTTGCCAGAGGATTTGACAGAGCTGAAGCTGCACAGCAGAGTGCCATTCAGAGACTCGCTTTCCCCCACTCCTCTCCTCTCCGGGGCTCCCCCTTCACTCCCGCCTTCTTTCCTTCAGGCAGAAGCACAAAGGATAGGCTTACCCAGCTGGCACCTGCCAGGGTCGCCATGCTTCACTCTCATTCCCAACGCCCCCTCCTCCCTTCTTCTCTCCCCCTCCCCCCCCCCCCACCCCACCCCAATTCCCCTGAGTGGTGAGTATACCTCTCTGGAACCTGGCAGCATCGCCGTCCTTCACTCTCATTTCCAACACCCCCTCCTCCTTTTTCTCTCCCCCTCCGCCCCTTGCCCCACTCCCCCGAGTGGTGCGTACACCCAACTGGGACCGGGCAGAATCGCCCTGCCTTAGCAGCAGGTGGCGTTTGCAGTAGAAGCCACATCAGATGTTCTGTTACTGGTGGGGAAGAGATGGTGAGTGGGGGGGAGGCAGATGAGCGAGAGGGTGTTGGTGAAAGAGAAGGAGCATACTGGCATTTGCAGTTGAAGCCACATCAGATGTTCTGCTGCTGGTGGGGAAGAGATGGTGAGCGGAGGGCTTAGGAGAGTTGTTGAAAGAGCAGAGGAGGTGGGAGTAAGGAGGGGGGACTGTTAGATACAATACCACGGCTCATCATCCCTCCCCTCATCATCCCTCCCCTCATCATCCCTCCCCTCATCATCCCTCCCCTCATCATCCCTCCCCTCATCATCCCTCCCCTCATCATCCCTCCCCTCATCATCCCTCCCCTCATCATCCCTCCCCTCATCATCCCTCCCCTCATCATCCCTCCCCTCATCATCCCTCCCCTCATCATCCCTCCCCTCATCATCCCTCCCCTCATCATCCCTCCCCTCATCATCCCTCCCCTCATCATCCCTCCCCTCATCATCCCTCCCCTCATCATCCCTCCCCTCATCATCCCTCCCCTCATCATCCCTCCCCTCATCATCCCTCCCCTCATCATCCCTCCCCTCATCATCCCTCCCCTCATCATCCCTCCCCTCATCATCCCTCCCCTCATCATCCCTCCCCTCATCATCCCTCCCCTCATCATCCCTCCCCTCATCATCCCTCCCCTCATCATCCCTCCCCTCATCATGCCTCATCATGCCTCATCATCCCTTATCGTGCCTCATCATCCCTTATCGTGCCTCATCATCCCTTATCGTGCCTCATCATCCCTTATCGTGCCTCATCATCCCTTATCGTGCCTCATCATCCCTTATCGTGCCTCATCATCCCTTATCGTGCCTCATCATCCCTTATCGTGCCTCATCATCCCTTATCGTGCCTCATCATGCTCTTTTTCACATTCTGAATCATTGTTCCCAGCTCCTCCTTTCAGTTATCCTTGCAAATTATGGGCAAATATTGCAAGGAATGGAAGCAACAAGAGAGAGTCACGCATGGCCAGGTTACTTTCTCTGTGACTCTCTCTTACTGTGTTCTTTCTGCTTCTCGCCTCCTATCCCTGATATCTTGCATGGTTACGCTAATTTCTCAGTGAAACTCTCTCAATCTCTCTGCTCGCATCCTATCATCTTAAGAGAAAACATGAGAGTGCATGTGCTACATTCATTCTGTTCCCTAACCGCTCTCCCCAATCTTATTCATCTCAGAACCCCCCTCTCGTCCTCTCAGGTCTGCTGCTTGCTTCCACTCATCCCTACAGACATTACAAGAGTTCGAATGTTCCATCCCACCTCACTCCCCTCTTCCTCTCCGCTCTCCACTGCCACCACAAAGGTCCCAGCTGCTGCCTCACTGTTTTATTTCTATTACCACTTCAATGATCAATCCCATCTGAGCCCGCCAGTACGTGCAAAATCAGCCCTCCTCGGCGCCCTCTCTGCTCTTCTGTAGGTGGACGGACAGTGCTTGCAGCGGGTGGGGGCACAGCAGGCAGCAACGCGATTAATCCCCCCTAGGTTCAGCCCCCCCAAGCTCAGCCCCCCCAAGCTCAGCCCCCCCAAGCTCAGCCCCCCTAGGTTCAGCCCCCCAGGGTGCCCTCTCTGCTCGTCTGGAGGTGGTCGCACAGTGCTTGCAGCAGGTGGGGGCACAGCACAGCATGAACGGGCTGTGTGGGTGAGAGGGGTGAGTGGGCTGTGTGGGTGAGTGGGCTGTGTGGGTGAGAGGGGTGAGTGGGCTGTGTGGGTGAGTGGGCTGTGTGGGTGAGAGGGGTGAGTGGGCTGTGTGGGTGAGTGGGCTGTGTGGGTGAGAGGGGTGAGTGGGCTGTGTGGGTGAGTGGGCTGTGTGGGTGAGAGGGGTGAGTGGGCTGTGTGGGTGAGTGGGCTGTGTGGGTGAGAGGGGTGAGTGGGCTGTGTGGGTGAGTGGGCTGTGTGGGTGAGAGGGGTGAGTGGGCTGTGTGGGTGAGTGGGCTGTGTGGGTGAGAGGGGTGAGTGGGCTGTGTGGGTCGGTGCCCAATGAGCGTGACCCACTCTGAACTATTGTTCCCACTCCTCCTTTTAGTTATCCTTGCGAATTATGGGCAAATATTGCAAGGAGTGGAAGCAATAACAGAGAGTTACACATGACCAGGTTACTTTCTCCGTTACTCTCTCTTACAGTGTTCTTTCTGCTTCTCGCATCCCATCCCTGATAATCTTGCATGCTTATCCTACTTTCTCAGTGAAGCTCTCTCAATCTCTCTGCTCCTTTCATCCTATCATCCCAAGAGACAACATGAGAGTGCATGTGCTACATTCATTCTGTTCCTTAACCGCTCTCAGCTGCTGCCTCACGGCTCTAATCACCACTTCAATTGCCACTCATCAGTCTACTTTCTTCCACTGTCACTACAAACATCCCAGCTGCTGCTCACTGCTTTATTTCTATTACCACTTCAATCCCATCAGAGACCGCCAGTAGGTGCAAGATCAGCCCTCCTCAGCACCCTCTTTGTCCTTCTGGAGGTGGACGCTGTTAGTGTTAGCCTTCAATCTCACACTTTGTACTTTGTATTTTCTATATCCTAGAGTAGTGTAGTTTGCACATTGTGTTTGGTTGGGTGTACACCTACATCCCAACCAAACCCAAATGTAATCTCCAAGCAATCTCCAACCCATCAATTGGAGATTGCCTTGGGATTACCCCCAATCCCTAGGGATTGCCCCCGATTCCCTTCCCCATCCATTCCCTCCCCTTCTTGGATGTACTTATAGAGCTTCAAGCTCATTACTAATGTATCGCTTCTAAGCCTAAGTTCTCACATGGTATCAGAGCCCGTCAACCGCACACGCGGATCATGATCCTCTTATCTCTGCAGATGTTCATCCCGCAAACCTCGGCGGAACCACCTTCAATCTCGTCGCCGGTGATTCGCGACATTCATGGGCGGAAATTCTCCCGCACCACTTTCCCGTCACTTTCGACGACATCTACTAGTTCACTGGGAAGCGCATCGTCGGCGCTATAACCTATCGCTCGTTTTTTCATCAACGTCATCGCGTCATTTCTTCTTCTCGTCGGGCCGCCGCCCGTCGCCTTGCAACTTCTCGTCGGGCCGCCGCCCGTCGCCCCGCAGCTTCTCGTCGGGCCGCCGCCCGTCGCCCTGCAGCTTCTCGTCGGGCCGCCGCCCGTCGCCCCGCAGCTTCTCGTCGGGCCGCCGCCCGTCGCTCCGCATCTGCACTCCTACCCCCATTCCCCCCCCACCTTCCCGCAGCTGAACAAGTGCAGCAGCGCAGCCGAGCAGCCGTGTAGCCGCGAAGCGGAGCAGCAGCGTAGCCGCGAAGCTGAGGGTGGTGTGTGGGGGGGTGTGTGGGATTAGAGTTAGTACTACGGAAATCGGCCGATTCGACCTAATTTCGATGGTCTGAAAAATCTCTCTACAAGGCATTCCGATGCGGCCGACATTGCGCGCCGCTCGTGACTTAAGAGCGGCGCTCCGCGCGAGACATTAAGGGACCTTCATCATGGCCTTCTCCTCGTCCACCATGGCCAGCCCCATCACCCCGCTCCGCCTTGAAGCCGATGGCTCTAGCTCCAACTTCAAGGCATGGAGCTACAGGGTTGACAAGCACCTCCTGAGTCGTGACGTGCAGGGATTGGACCTCAAAGACGTTCTCCTCAACCGTGGCAAAGGAAAACAGCCCCCTCCCCCCCCTGAGCTGACCGAATCCGCTAGTGATACTAACAGGAGGGCGTACGAGGAAGCTGTTGAGAAGTACCGGAAATGGGAGAAGGCAGATGCTGCTATCATCAGCGTCTTCATTCCCTCCACCCCTCTCGAACTAGTCAACACGTTCCACAACTACCCTACCTCCAACACCATCTGGAAGTACCTCCAGGACCGGTTCATGAACAAAACGGCGGTCGGGGTTGCCATCCTCATCCCCAGCATATTCCAGGTCCGCCTTGAGGATTGCTCGGGAATGGCTGACTACATCGCCAAGGTGCAGACTATTCATGGCGAACTGAAGGAGCTGGGCATAGTCTTCCCCGAACAAGCCCCTGCAGCCGCCCTTCTTATTGATCTCACCTCGGCATATGAAGTAATGAGGAAGATGCTCCTCACGCTCTCAGCGGAAGACCTCACATTTGCTAAGGTCTCATCCGCACTCTTCTCTGCTGAGAAAGATTCCACGGCTCAAGCCAAGGCTTACGCCATCCGCGCTCCCATGCCGCAAGCAAGTGTCGCATCGGCCCTCGCCTCGGCGCCTTTCCAGCGCAACCGCTTCCCTCCGTGCACCTATGTCGTTAAGTATGGCAATCGCAAGGGACAAGTGTGTGGTGGCACTAACCACCCCCTTGCTACGTGCTTCAAGAAGAAAGACGACGAATGGTATGCCATTCACGGAGTGGACAAGAAGCCGCCGAACTGGATGCGCCCTCGTAAGGCCAACCTAGTTGAGGTCCCGGACCCCGCTCCGGCTAGTGCTAGTGATAGTGCTCTTGCTGATGTGCGTATCAACCTGTTGTTTCCTGGCACTGCCATGATTAATGAAGCTTCCTCCCAGTACCTTGGCTCATCACAAGCACCACAATACATAGAGTTCACACTCGACAGCGGCGCCACACACACTGTACTCAAGGAGACACTCTCCTTCAAACCCTACACAGCACCCATCCCTCTCCTAGGAGCTGACTCAAGCTTCACCACTCATGCCAAGGGTTCATCCACAGTCCCGTGCCCCGCCTTCCCTTCCGGCACTGTCACTGGAATGTGCGTGCCTTCACTCCGCCACTATCTCGTGGCCCAAACGGAAATTCAGGAAGCCGGGATACGCACCATCTTCTGGGAAAACGAGAACTATGGTGATATCCTCGACCCACTCACCAACAAGGTCTTGACTCGTTTCACCCTCAACAGCAGCGGCCTTTATACGCTACAAGTACCCATCCCACAGGTGTCAACCACCCAAACAGCGGCGACTACCTCACCATGCTCGTGCCGCAGTTTCTCCAACCCGACCATACTCTACCACCATCGGCTCGGGCACCCAAACTTCTGCCCACTTGCTGACATGGCCTCCAAGAAACTTCTACTTGGCCTGCCAGCCTCACTTCCTCCACCACCAGACTCCCCCGCTCCCACGTGCCTTGACTGCACCAAGAGCAAACTGCGTCAACAGCCCCACCCGGCCTCACCCTCTGTCGCAGCAGGACCACTGGACCTGGTACACCTGGACGTCTGGGGCCCTGCCTCTGTTCCCGCACGAGGTGGTTATCGCTACTTGTTATCGTCGATGACCACTCTCGCTACGTCTCTGTTCACCTCCTCCACACTAAGGCTGCGGTTCCAGAGGTCCTCATGGCGTGGGTTAAACAGGCACAAACCACCTTTGACCGCAAAGTCAAGCGCCTCCACTCAGATGGTGGTGGTGAGTTTTGCAACGACAAGCTCAAAGCCTTCTGCTCTTCAGAAGGCATCCAGCAAAACTTCACCCTCCCTGACAGCCCGCAGCAGAACGGCATAGCTGAGAGCCGCAACCACACCCTGGTGCAGATCACTCGGTGCCTCCTCAGCCACTCCAACGCTCCACACTCTCTCTGGGGGTACGCTCTCTACCACGCCGCCCTCCTCTACAACCTTTACCCCCACCCGCATCTTCCCGACACCACTCCAACCACACTCTGGCTCGGGAAAACACCCACTGCTCGCTCTCTTCGC